GCCCCCCCTGCAATGCACCCCCTTCCCCGTGCCCCCTCCACCGCACTCCCTGCCCCCCCTTGCAGTGCCCTCCCCCCGCACTGTGCTGCTGCCCGCGCCCGACCCCGCCGGCCCCTACCTGTCGTCGTTCTGGAAGCTCTGGTCCCCCAGCAGCAGGTCTCGGAAGCGGTAGCGGGGCGGCAGGGGCAGCACCTCGGACTCCAGCTCGTTCATCCTCAGCGCCGCGATGTCCAGGACGACCCCACTCTTGCTGCTGTCGCCGCCGCAGCCGCCGGGCGACGAGAGCCTGCAGGGGAGGAAGGGAGGGAGGGAGCCCCGAGGAGCCCGGTGGATGCTCGGAGCCAGGCTGGAGCCTGCCGCCCGCCCCTTCCCGGGGACCCCGTCCAGCCCGCCCTGCCCCGGCCCATTACATTCTCCTGCCCCCGGAGCCGGCACTGCAGATGCTGCCCAGCCCTGCCTGGCACTGCCCGCGGGGAGGGGTGGGGGTTTGGAGAGGGAAAGAGCCTCAGCCACAGTGCCGGGGGGCTCCTGCCCCTCTGCAAGGGGCTAAGGAGGAGGGAGGACCCCCTCTGCCCACGCTGGCATCAAACCCCTGGAAGAGCCCCGTGCGGATGAGTCAACCAGCCACCCAGCTGCCAAATGGCAGGATGCCTCGCCCCCCCTTGACCCCCAACGCCTGCCCCTGGAAGCCATCGGGATGGGGTGGGGGCAGGAAGGGCAAGGGGGCAGGCACATGCTGGGGGAGGATATGCAGTCACCTGCGCACCCATGGACTTGGCAGGAAAGGTCTCCAATGCTTCAGCCCTCCCCCGGCTTACAGAGGCTGGGGCTGAGCCCTTCCACCCCTCCCCAAAGGATGAAAAGTAGGAAGCACAAAAGCCCCACACATCTTTTTTTTTCTTAAAGCACACCTGTGGGCTAAAGGGAGGGGCCCTGCCCTGCTCTGCCTTGCACACAGGTAAGAGCAGAGCACTGCAACCAGGGTTTGGTTTGCAGAAACTACTGTGGGGGGTGTTTGAGGCAGGCAGCCACTGTGACCAGTTCTGTCAATGATCCGTGAGAGATGTGCACCATGCATGTAGGTGTTATCCGGCTTTGTGCATCCACTCTGAACCTCCAGCTGTGCCCCAAGCCACCTCACCCGTTTCTCTAGAGCAGCCAGCTTGAGGAAATCCCTCTCTGTCACCAGCTCAAATATCTCGGGCACTTTCTGGACAGCGAGAAGAACCAGGGACCCATGAGAGGTGAAGATGAAGAGGCAATGCCTTTGCAAGTTTTTTCTTCCCCTCTCATCCAACACGGTACTGGAGCTCAGAAGTGCCAGAAGACTCAAGGCACCCTACTTGTTCATTAGGCTCATGACAGCCTGACCCAGACCTCCCTGAAGTCAACAGAAAAACCACCATGTTCTTCAGATCAGACCCTCTCCATAGAGGACACATGAAAAGACAGCAGCAGAGTTTCAAGCAGCTTGATGTTTCATTGACAACACAACATCCAGTTTCCCAACAGGCTGGCCACCAGGCTGCAGAAGGAAGTCTTAAGGCCAGTCGCAGCCTTTTACACCTTAACTAACTCAGATTCCTCTTAAGGACGAATCACTGGGAGACTATACTATACAAACCCTCGTGCGCTGCAGTCCCTAAGTCTGTGAAGAAGCAAGTAACAGACAACATTTCTGCTGAACATGGCCTAAGAAGTTAACAGAGCTTGTTCCTCAGCACTTTGGACCCGAATCTCACTGATTTTTTTGCCGCTATGTCCCATCCCTTACTTCTATACCCTGTCGGGAAGGGCTGAAAGACTCCTTTCAGCTGCCACAGGCACAACACAGCCAAATTCTGCATTGCCCTGCACTACAGAGCAGCTCCTGGGCTCCAGTGGGGCTCCGCAGGGGTATAAAATGATCCAAAACTTGGCCTGGACTGCTGAGCTGAAGTGGACTCAAGCCAAATTCCACACAGCTCAGGAAGTCCCTCTGGATTTGTGCTGGCAGGGGGGAAAGAAGCTGGCTGGGGCTCTTTATCCTGCAATGCAAGAAGAGACCTAAATAATAATGTCATGACAAAAGTTTTTTCTGCTTCAGGCGTTTAACCATGTCCTGGAAGGTGCTTTAAGAGGGTCACATCCTATTTATGATTAATAACTGCAGGACCCCACTGAGACCAATATGGCAAAACTCCCACAGACTCCAGTGGGGCCAGAGTTTTACTCCTGGACTGGCTGCAATGGGGAAATATCTCTAGGCTAGTCAGACATAATAATGGCATTCATATTATTCATACAGATTATGCAATTCGTACATAATCATGGCAGCAGGGACAGCATCTCTCTCTACACGGAAGATTACCGCTCCATCTGCAGGATCATGCTGGTTTCAGCAAGTCCAGCATTGAATGACACTCAGCCCCTGTTTAGAAGAATAATAATATACTATTCCCTTTCCTAGAGGGTGGAGAAAGTATTAAGGCCACAGGAGTGCGTACCGCCTTTCAGAGTACCATGCTGCACCTGGGGAGGAGAACTGCACTAATCAATTCCCAATGAATGCAGCAAGCACATTATGCATCTAAGCAGTGCCAGAGAATTTGATCACAAGTCCTTTTGAGCGTACAGTTACTTGTACGTGCAGGGCTGATGCCTAAAGCAGCTCCGAGCTGGTGCAAAAAATGGAAAGGCATGGTTTCAGTAGCATCTAGCACACACAAATACAACACAGCCCCAAAGTCTGGTTGTCCAGGGTTCACCTGGAATGAGGGGCATTGTGATATCCTGCTTTCAGTCAAACACAGGGCGATAGCTCAGTCCTTAACCAAGGCTTTCAGCTCTGATAATCAAGTTTCTACTGCAACCTGAGCTTGCTGAAAGCGTTCTGAATTTGCTGGGGAAAAAAAATACATAATGGTGCATCATACAAAATGCATAATGATGTATCTTTAACCACAAAGCCTTAGGTTACTTTGAAAAAATCCTGGTAATCTGTTTTTATAAAAACTAATTTTTTCCCCCAATTAAGTAATCACTCTTGGCCTAAGACCTTATGCCCCAAAGCTGTTAAACTAAGTAAATATTTCCAGTTGGCCTACATAGACCTTAAGACATAGAGATGAAAATGAAGGCATGACATTATTACTTCCAGACATATGGAATTATGCCACGCATTTCTGCCGGGGTTTATTCTCATAAGCAGTTGCACTTCGAATGCCTTGGGTTCAACACTTGCATTAAAAAACATTCAGACAGTTAATACTTCTCCTGCACATAACATACCTTTTTTCTGGTTTTAGTTGAAGGTTCAGCAGAAATAGCCTAAACCACACACACCCACATAGTGAAAAAATCTGTGTTAAACAGTGTCCACTGAAGCTTCGTGCATGCTGCTGTTTAAAAGAGTGCTATTATCCTTCGGATACCCAGAGCTGCCGAGTTCCACTGCAAAACTGTGAGATTTGTCCCTGTAAGGCTTTTATCACCACGCCACCAAAGTTTGGAGATGTCAAAAAATGTTCAGCAAGCTGTTCCCAATTACCAGAGGTGTAAAATTAAAAAAAGGAATCCTAAAACAACAACGTTCATTGCCTAGTGTTCAAATAGCAACGAAAAAAAATCTTGAATTGATTTGTAGCTAAATCCCAGATCGTGGCAGGAAGAATTCAAACAGCCAACAGCATATAGGAGTCCAAACAAAAGTTAAAATGTATTAACAGGACTTTAAGTATGAGCCAATGCCTCCTTTGCTCCCCACGTCTGCGGACACCACACACAAAGACTGGAGATGCAACGCTGTTCCAAGCCTTGGCCGCAGAGGGATGAGTGGATTAAAGCTAATGAGCTCCTAAAGATCTGTTCATCTGTCTTTTTGAAGATCGGTAGCTAGACAGTGATTTTCTTTTATTTGTAAACAGAGCTGGCTTTTTGGAGTCTGTTTGGCAAAGAGCCTGACAGCTGCATCAACCTTGGTTCCCTTCACTAAGATTTCTCATGCATGGGCTGCTCTTCTCTGCCTGCATCTGAACACGGGGCATACACAAGAGTGGTGCAGCTGGCAGCACAACCATTTGAGATTGAATATGCACACAGAGGGCCAAGCACATCCTACACCCATCTCCAACAACTTCCATGGAGCTGAGCCAAGGAGGAATCCAGCCTGAAGAGCATCCAACCAATGCACTAGTAGAGTTGCTGAGAGTTCATGAAGTGGTGTGAGAAGTGTCAGGTTGGTCAGAGCCCAAGAGTGTAGTTTGGTTGGTAAAGAAACGTCTCTAGAGATGCTGCAGGTTGAGCAGCACACCTCACAATGAGGCTCACCCATGAGGAACACCTCTAAATCTATAACAACGATCTAGTGCCTGGATCTTGTGAAGCTGCCTGCTCACTGGTGTTCAATAAAGGCACTGCTGTGTCCTCCTGACAAGATGAAAAAGGGGTTAGTGGTTTCTTGAAGGGTTGGGCTTTACCCAGGGTGACCGGAAGAGAGGACATCTCCTGCTAAGACCAGCCAGGATTGAATTTGAAGGCAGCTACCTAAGTGGCCCGTGTTTTTAGATGGCTCCTCTGCTACATTTCTGTGCAGTGCTTCGTGGGTAGCCAATACACACCTGCATCTGAGTGCACAAACTATGGTTTAACCAGAGCAAGAGGCCCTGTGCTCTGCCATTACTTCCAGCTCAGCTCTCCTGGGCCTGAGCATCCCAGAAAGAGCCATTCTCTCAACTTCATTCCCCTGTGCGCTCTGTGAAACCATAGCGCACGGCTAACGTGCTGATCATCACCTCTCCCAGCAACATGACACCTATGGAGGGCAGAGGAGCTTGTCGCTCATGACTGAGGATGCTTCTCCTTGTGCCTCAATTTTCCCACCTATGAAATGAGGACGCTCCTGCAATACTTCCCTGCAGTGTGGGCAAAGGGCTCGGGTACTGCACCTATGGGGTCAACATCTTGCAAGTGCCTACATGCCAACCAGACGCCCTCCATGCATGTTTGCCTCAACTTTGCAAGGCGCTGAGCCATTCTGGCTCCCTCTGAAGCCAACAGGAGCTGCCAACGCTCAGCCCCTTTGTCAAATAATTCACTTCCAGTCTTTGCAAGAGAAAAAAGCATCATGCTGCCACAGCCACTTCACCTCCAACTTCCTCCTAGCTCTCACTTCCTTGAGTAGGGACAAGTGCAGCCGTTGCTGGGCTCTCTCTTGAAGTCATCATTGCCCCCGGCTTCTATGATGAACAATAAGCTGCTCCGGAAACTCTGCCCTTTAATTTTCTATATGTATTAAAAAATATAATAGTCATTGATGGCTTCTCCTCCCACAGCTCTTATGGTTACCGGGTTACAGTTGCTTTTCCCCTTCCTTTTGAGCGACGTCCCTGTGGGGGTATCTTAATGGCCAAGTGCGTAGGGGAAACACATTCCTTCCCAATTGTTCGGCTGGAAACAGGACCACACTCTCCTCCTGTGCGACTGACACAATTGCTCGAGTGATCAACGCAGGTTCCTTAGCAATAAATGGAGCAACGAGCCGGCCTGCCAGAAGACAGCAGGGTGCCCCAGACAGAGCAAGAGAGGGACAGGGGAAAGGGGTAAAGGGGGGCGCTGAGAACGGCAGCAGCCTGCACACGCAGTCACACACATGAAGGGAACTCATGAATGGAAAAAAAAGTCAAGAACAAAAGTTACACCAGCCTCTCGGGCCAAATCAATCGCTGCTATGCCGACAGCACATCACGTGGACAGACACTCACCTTGGCAGCTTCCTAGGGGTGACATTTCCACTGGGATCGCTTCTCGTGGAGCAATTCCTTACAGTCATCTTGGGCACGACTAGGTCTCCCTCTACCACCGTTTCCGCTGGATGTGTCCTTCCATCTGCCCTTGCATTGTTAACAAGGAAAACTCCTGCCTCTGTTTGCCCCAAGCTTCTCCTGCAGACGCCCCTCCGCGTTTCTGCTGCAGCTGCCCCACATCCCCTACTTTGCCCGGACCTGCCCCGCACTGCACAGGAGACAGGAATCTCATCCACACACTTGTCCTCACTGAACGGTTATTCTCCACAACCCCAGTGCCAGGCTGGGCAGAACTGCAAAATCCTCTGTGTTTACAGGTGCCGTCACTTGTTTGGGGAGAGAAAGAGCTTGCTTTCCCCCCCGGTTCCTCATTGAAGAGCCAGAGTTGGAGTGCTTGGGGGGTGATGGGAGAAGAGGCAGCAATACCCGACACAGCGGGCATGAAAACGCAGAGTCTGCCTGGCCATCAGAAGTGTCAGCATCAGGTGCAGCAGCGTGACGGCAGCCTAAGTTCAGGCAGCTCTCTTCAAGCACACATGGAAGTCAGCCTATCCCTGGCTCGCGCATGCTGCCGGAGCCGAACGCTGAATGCTGTCTGAAACGCTCCCGTCTGTCAGCAGCCATATGTAGCTCATTTACATGGTGAAAAGCCTGGGATCTCCTTGGCCCGGATCTGAGAGCCACGTATGATGCAGCATGAGTACCCGCACGCAGTGGTCAGTCAGCTGCCACACAGATGTCTGTATGCTTCTCCGTGCTCGGGAGGGCTGCTCTCACGAAGGCAGCTTCGCTGACTACACCAGCCCAGCTGGTCAGGACTTGAACAGAGAACATGAAGACACATCAGAGGCTAATATCTGGAGCCACCAAAAAAAAAAAAAAGCCTTAAAATACAAGATAAGGGGGGGAAAAAAATCTCTTTTGCTCTGTTGTATCCTGAGCCAATGTACAGTATTAAGAAATTATCTAGATCTGGCAAGCACAAGGGTTTAAAACCACGCAGATTTATTAGATACTGGAAGGGAGAGGAAAAAACAGGAAGCACTCCCTAAGGCAGCATCTTCTTGTCTATCGTGCAATTAAAACAATTGTGGCTTCCCTTCCTTCTGGCCAATAAACAAAACCTGGTTTAATTAAAAAGGGGGAGGGAAGGGAGAGGAAAGGTGCTGACAAAGTGCTGTGTGTAATGGGGAAATCACCGCAAAAAGAGCCCAGGCAGCAGTACCCCACGATGCTGCCGGCTTCCAGCAGCACTTTATTAGGGATCTTGAAATATATAAAGGACATTATGACAATGGGATATAAAAAGCTAGCAAGCTTAGAAAAATCACTCATGTCAAGGTAAGTAATGCCATCATTTTTCGTCTCTCACTGATACCCGACGTCCAAGGAATAAGGTCAGGTACTGCACCATTCGGGCAGGTGGAGACGTCCATAGCCCCATCACCACTGTGTCCATGCACTTCCCAAGCGTGTCGAGATTTGTCCTCGCAACACACCTGTGAGGGACACAAGGATCATGATCTCCAGTTTACAGAGGAGGAACTGAGCTGCTTATAAATGGCTGAACCAAGGAAAACTTTGGTGAGGCCAAGAAACTCACATTGCATCTTCTGGGCCCCAGCCCTGCCCAAGAGCTTCCTTCCACCCCCAGCTTTTCAAATAAATTGCTCAGAATGACAATATTTTCCCTAGCATGTCCCATAGCAGAATTTATCTGTGAGCTTCCCCGGTTTCACTGCTGCATTTCAGACAGCCTCATCTCAAAGTCTTTTCTTAAACATTAAGCCTCACAGCATGTTGGAGGAGTTGCTTAGTTTTGCTACCCCCATTTTTCACATGCAGAAGCGCAGAGGTATTAAGCTTCTTCCCCCTAACCGCCAAGGTCACACAGCATGGCAGCGACATAATCAGGAATAGAAATCAGCAGTTGTGAATCCCTATTTCCTCCTCTGGTTGTTGGGAGAAGACAGAAAAATTGCTATGTACCCTGCTTCTCCCTGAAGTACAAAATTAAAAAGGTTCCTCATCTAGTTTCCATGCACACCCCAATGCCTATCACTGCTAAAAGAAGGTAAAAACACCCTGATAGCAAAATAAGGCTCTTGGGTTTGGAGAGGGGAAAAAAACCCAGTAAGAAAGTCAAAGGAAAACAGGCAAATAAAAACATGTCAAAACTCTGGATGAAAGGGCATTAGTCTTTCACACCTGTTTTGAGCGTTGATCGGAGTGAATGAAACTTCACCCAGGGTAACAGCGCAGATTAAACCAAGCGGAAAGGAGAATGGTATGTGGGTTTCCCCAAGCTACTGCATGGCCGCGCAGCTCAGGAACAGGCAGGAGCGATCCACACCCTTGCTGCCAAGGGATGGGTGTGGAATCAGGGAAATACGGGATCGTTCCCTTCAAACTAGGCAAAGACCAGTTCTCTAATTCAGCAAAGCTTCTGTGTGCAGATGAGCAACCTTCTCCGGTCTTAAGCATTTGGTACAGAAGGTGCCACTGAGACAGACTCTGTCTTTAGTGTCCCCAGCCGCTACTTGATGCTACATGCCACACACACACACACACACACACACACACACACACACACACAGAGTATATATATACATATATGAATAAACTATTTCAGGGTAGTGGCTGCAGTGCTGGCCAGACACAGGGGAAAGGGGACATATAACCAGGGGATTATTGTCTCTTGCTCAGAACCAGTGGAGGAGAGAAGGGAGTCCAGCAACCAGTGTCAACATGGTTGAGAGAAGGTTATTTTGGAGAAAACTACTTCTTCCCTTGCCCTCACGCAGATGTATTGCTAACTGCAGGCAGTGTCGGGGAGGAGAAAAGAGACCAAGCCATACGGCAAACACCCCTCAAGGCTGTCAATCCTGGACCCCATGGGTGGGGCAGACCCACTTTCTGCAACGTGAACTCAGGGCATTCTCTCCTTCTGCTAACTCCAACAAACAGCCGGCTTCCTTCCTCCAAAAATCACATGCAGAAGTACACTCGAGCCAAAAGAGGACCTGTGAAGCAAAACCCAGACATCTGGCAACCACTAATCATTTCATTTTCCACTTTGCTCAGAGATACCCTCCTGCCCCTGCTTGCCCCTGGGCCTAATGCTGCCAACTCCCCGCATCACCCCAGCTGACATTAGGAAGCTCGCCATCAGGGAGTGCTAGCATTATCCACTCTGTTAGGGAAAGCCACTCACCAGAGGTCTGCAACCGCTTCAGCCCTTTGCTTGGAAGCACAGCTGCCCCTACGATAACAGTTTCAAGCTACACGCTTCTGTATTGGATTTAGGCGCTGCATGCACCATCCGCCCCTCTCTGCAAAGGCCCATGTGCACACCACTGAGAGCAAGCAGCTTCAGCCTCTCTGGGAAAGGCAGTGCCTTTCGCAAAAGGAGCAGCTGAGCACATATTGCACGGGAATGAAGTACAAAGCATTCAAGGGGCACCTGTTCCTTAACAGGAGATAGCGATACAGGCTGCTCATCCGAGAACTGTCCCAAAGGGCTCTCTGGCAATTAGCAATCGGGACAGAGCAATTACAAAAAGCTTCCTGTAGGGTAAATGAATCCGTGTTTTAGTCTCTGCTTGGAACAATTTCTAAATACAAAAGAACCCCCAAGAGGAACATCTAATGCTGCACGTATGGGGGTAAACACTGGGACTCCTGGGTTCAATTTCCAGCCTTGCTGATTTGGGGAAGTTGCAGTTGTAAGTCTCAGTCTCTTTGCTGTGATAAGCCAATGTCGTAATGTTATTTGAAAATAGTTTGGGGAAGAACGGAGGCACCAAGGGTAGAGTGATTTAGCCAAATGTACGAACTTGGAAAACATCTGGAGCTCAGCTCTTCACCTCTGACTGTTTATGCGGGTCCTACATGCCCATGCAGTGGTGGGGCCCACTGACTCTCATCAGGAAGGCGCTCCTAGCCTGCTGAGTGCTAGACCTAGCATAAAACACAGCACCGGCCCCAGACAACCTGCAATCTCTGAACTAAACAGAGACACAAAGAGTTGCCTTACAACACAGCAGAGGCAGTCACTGAGAATACAAATCAGGTCCCCTGACTCCTGGCCCAGTGCACTGTCCACTGCAGCACACAGTCCTCTTACCCTACTGGTAAATAGCTAAATAATTAGCTATATCTCCATTCCCCAGCCTCACAGTAAAGTTTATGACAGAGTGCAGGGAGCATTTAATGCAGCTGATTAGAATGACAGTCAGACAAGACAGCATAATGGGTTCATTTGCAACCATTTCAGTTCATTGTGTAACTATTCAAATAAAGTGTGCATCAGCCTAACTGATCAATTCCTGCACAATGTGCAAAGCCTCAGTTTCCTAAGGCCTCCAGATGTGTTTGCCCTCCACTCCTGTCATCACTTGGGAAGGGAGGTCTACAAGGATTTCACTTTTGCACCTAAATGAAAAGCCTCTAGAATGGAAACAGCTAAATACAACGGCCTTGGCACTGGAGTGGTCCTGTCAGAATATGCTGCCCTTGAAATGGGGAGACTGGAGGTTAGATCCAACTGTGAGCCAGAAAGCCCCAGCTCAGTACCAGGAGATAACTAAGCACAAGACATTTCTTCCTCTGACCTGAAAGCCCCGTGGGCCCTGCAGTTCAACCTTCTGCACATCCAATGACATGCCTACACCCCGCTGGGATCCAGACCCGGGGTGCTTCAGTCCCTGGAAGGGCACCTAATGCACTGCACACCAAAAGCATTAGGGTCGGGGTAAAATGGGATGTCAGGCTGGCTTCTTAGCAAAAAAGAGTCATTTCTCCCCATGCCCACAGCAATGGATCAGTCTGCTAGACTTTAACCCCTTCTGGTTTCAGCAGTTGGTTCGCTGGTGTAATTATAGGGATCGTTAATCTGGTTGTACCATAGCATGGCTCAAGCTGTCACAATGGCCACAGAGAAAGCTCTGTGGCAACATGAAGGATGTCAGAGGCCTTACACGTCCGAACAGCAGAAAGGCGGCACTCGGTTCTTGGATCATCTCCCTGCTCACACGCAGCCCCTTGGCGGGAGACCTCACAATCGGACCAGGCTCTTAATCACCAGCAAATTCCAGACTTGGCTTGTCTGGGGAATCGGATACAAAGCTCTGGGCAGCTAATCCAGCCAGGACATACCCGACTCGGGATGCTGCACTGCTACTTAACTGTTGGACCACTAAAATACATCATCTCTTTATAAACTTAGAAGCTATAGGCTGCCATTTGGGTTGCCTTGTCCATGACGCTGTGGTTTGAGTCCCAGGAAGCCTTGGACCTGCAGAGGAAAGTAACACTTCATTCTTTGCACGGGGTTTCATTTGTACCACAGCCAAGCAGCTCATTTTAAAAATGCTGAGCAGAATCCG